TATAATTAATAATATTATATGCACTGTTATTATTTGCAACGAGTTTGAATCACTTTAGAAGAATAGTAGATCATTCCATACCAAAATAAATTTAGTAGCCCAGATGAAAGGCGCAATATTAATTTACGGTTATATGTTAGTAATCAGCTCAAAAAAATTCCCGATTCATGCATAATTTCAGGTCTTCCGGCAAATAGTAATTTTACAAATAATAATAATAAATACAAACTTTTTAAACAACTGAAAGTTATTAAGAAATTGTGCAGACCAACTTCTGGCTTGATGATCGAACTTGATGTGGGTAAATATATAATATTCGGTATTAGAAAAATTACTTTCTAGTATAGTTGAGAAGAGAAAAAATAGATTTTCGCATGTCCTGCCCGCGTAAGTCGTCCTGTGAAAATTAGATTGTTATGCTCAAGTAAACTAACTAACCTCAGCGTTTAGCCTTGCAGGTTTAGTTAGAATATTTAAAAAAACATTTATAAAAAATTATGGTTTTACAAAAATTACAGAATTACAAAAACGTATTCATGAAATACCTATAGAGTCAACTCATTGACTTGACTGCTACCGTTTTTTTTCTGTCATGATCAAATAGAGTTGATATAGTATAATATGAGAATCTGCCAATTAAAAGCAATCAACAGCGCATACAGCGATCAACTTTTACTGTTAAAATAGTTTTATTGGATGCAAGCATTTTCACCCAAACCTCATATCTGTGTCTTTCAATTCAAAGCCTGTTTGAATTTTTATTTAATAGACTTTAGCTACTGTCAGTTATATAGTGCAATATCTAAAATACTCAGTCGTCTATTTTTGCGCCCCTGTACTTTGTGAGGAAATCTAGTCAGCAATATTTCTCAAACACGATAATAAGGTAATCGTATACATTTAAATCGATGCTCTATAATGTCTGATAACGCACATAATCAAACGATAAATATTAGCTCTAATCGCATTGACATCTCGCTCCCGGTATTGAACCGCCAGATTTTATGTATTTGACCACCCCATGGTCTATACCTGGACTATTATACGAGGATATTTGCGTGGCTTTCAGAAGCCCTATAACACATCCTTCAAATTTAGCCATAGCTGTGAAAATTCTATAGGAAAAGTTCTAAGTGCGGGGACAACCGAGACTCATTTATATTCCTAAACGAATAAGCAACAGTTAGGTGGGTGATACCTAGCTACCAATCACTGGACATCACATCTCTGCGATCATTAATCGAACACAAGATGGACGTGTCTTAAATAGGCACCGCTATGATAGTAGTCTAAAATAGCTAGTAATATCTTGATTCGGTCTGTGCGACATGTCCCTAAAACTACTGAAAAAGGGATGCAATCCAGCTTGATGGATGTTTGTTACTTACTTTGTTTATCTGCTTTCTTTTAAAATGTTATTTTATGGCGAAGAAATGCTGTTGGAGTGGCTCAAAAATATACGACAAGCTGCGAAGTGGTACATCTTAAAAATGAATTCACTCTCATTTACTGGCGGATATATTCAAATTCGCTAAACAGCTTCGAGTAACGTATTCGTATAAATTCAATATTTCCTTCGAAAAAGATAGTTTTTTATTTCATCAAAATATAAAGTTTGTGCTTAGTGTGTAGTACAACGTTGTGTTTTTACATAGGTGACAATAAATGTGTTAACAAAAAACTCACTGAGAAAATAGTCAAAACACGAATAAATAATTTAATAGATGGATTGCAATTGGTGTGCACGTCAAAAGCTTATGATCTTGGAGATGACTTTTCTGTGTATCCTCCTCCTCTAGGTTCTAGATATACAGACAACTGATCCGTCACTGATACACTTATTGCTATTGCCTGCCGTTGGAAGAATTTTTCTGAAGGCCGATAAGTGGCTAGATCAAGAATATTGGCCAAAACGATAAATGCAGCATTTGTAAAGCTTAGTGTGCGTCCCGACAATTTTGTGTTCCCAACTTTGCAGCGAAAACAGTATCCAGTGGTCCCACAAATCTTCAACTCATTTTCTAGATATAATGCGACTACAGCTTGATTGGAACTGCCATCAGTGAGCGGGCTCTCGTCCTAAATATATATATATTTACAAGGAAAGACGAAGCTATTTGGGACTGAGATTATACGGCCCACTCCACTCTTTTGCCCAGTTACACGTTGACTTAAAATGTTAATACTATCAATCTTTAGTTTTTTTTCTAGATGTACGCAAATTAGAAAATGAATCCAATTCGCATTACTGGATTTTATGCAATAAACTACGTGGAATTTTTTTTGTTGAACAGTAATGCCTTGTTTTTCCATTATAATTCCGCCTGACCGGCACTTACTCCTTTGAAAATAACCTAAAACCAGGTTACGCTTTATAAACATTGTTAAGATGAATTTTATTACACGACAAGCTTAGAGACTATATAGGTCAGGATAAGATGCATCTATATAGAATTTTGAATTTTAAGCATATGATGTTGCTTTTACAGAAAAATTAAAACAAGTAAATGATCTAAGAGTACAACTTAACTTAGTAGGTATGCCTGCATGTGTATATATGCAACGGAATGGGCAGAGCCAGCCAAGTCTATATTTAAAAGCATCATTACACAATATGCTTATTTTTCTATTCGCATCGAGGGTCTCGCTGTTTAATACACATATGCATATACATTGAAGTAACTTGAATTTCGATGTGTTCCCTTCTTGAAAGGACTGAATGGAGCGAGACTGAGAGAAATGTGAGTCATGGCAATAGATAAAATGTGCCAGCTTCAATTGAACTCGATAACCCTATCGTGGAAGTATGTCAATCCCACACCGCTAACGCAAGCCGTTTCAATAGGAAGCATTTTCTCCTAAAAGGAAGCGACCCAAGAGTAACAGTCGATATTTAGATGTGATGCAAGTAGTATGGTTACCTGAAGCCAGTCTCTGTATCAGTTTGTCAACGATGCTCTGAAAATAGGTTATGAGAAAGTAGACTCCTGCATCCTGAAAGGAAGTATGCAAATATAATCAAAATCGATGTGAGTACGTCGTACAGCCTCTTACTGTTAATTTTACTAACTAACGGATTAGACTTGACTTTCACAGTAGCCAAATCGGCTGCCACGGGATTAACGTTGTTCTGTAAGCTTATGCCGTTACTGCTAAGTAGCTCCCTCACATACCGTCTTTCCCATTGGGGTCCATCATATAGCTTTTCCGGAAACGATTTCCAGAGAACGATCTACGCAATCTTTTTTTCTATAGTTCGTTGTAGGGTGATGTTTAACATTTTCAAATGGAGTAAAATCGTGTTGTCAGGTATTTTTTCGCTCCGACCAATAAGAATTCATCATCTAGAACTTGCATGGAACAAGCCTGGAAACGGAAATATAGCGCTTCTTGATGATACAACATCTATCATCACTTCTATTAGAGATATCTCGTAATGATTATTGTACGCAGCTGCAAGTTTTCAATATAGTCAATACATCAGCTGCTCACGAAACATCAATGGTAGTCCCATTAATATACAATTTCCAGGATTAAAAAAGAAGAGTTTGTCTGTCGCTGGACGACTGCATAAGTGTATTATGTAGACGCTTATGCATCCACTATCAATTATTCAACACGGTGTTAGTAGCCATCTTTCCTGCTTCTCTTGATTCCATAAATCGTTTCATAGAACTGGGTAGTACCTTTTCGGCCTCCTGGCCGACGGTACTGGACGGTAGGATAAAGAAAGAATTTACCTGGCTGTCTAGTTGCCGTACAACAATTTCTGCGTCGGAAAACGTTTTTATTATTCAAAATAAGTTCATGAATAGGTTGATATCAAATAAATTACAAAAAAGGCAGTGGTACAAGTGCGGATAATCAAGAAGGCTCCATAAAATGTAAAAGCGGGAAAATAGTTAAATAAAGATAAAAGGGAAAAATTAGCAAACTTTTATAGTAGTCAAAGTAATTTAGAGTTAACTGTCGGTTCGTGAATTTACGAGGAGCTTCACTACTACAAACAAATAACGTAAAAACAATGGTTGAAAACATATATGCGTATATGTTATAAATTGGATACACATTGAATTAATGTTTTTCGTCTCTGAGGTCCAGTACTGGCTGTATCAGGGATTGTAGACTCGCGCTTCTGCAAGTACACTCGCGTAGTTCAAACAAAAGAAATAACGTTATATTTCTATAAAATATACTTATAGAAACAAAAAGTAAACAATGTGGATACAGGAAGTCCACATTCTAGTCGGAATGCGTTAAGTAAAACCTGCTTGCCTTAGTTTGCTTACTGTCAAGCCTATAAAGAGAAGCAATTCCCATATGGGATTTATATGATCGGTAAGGTCGTCTGCCAGAGGAACCGATGATGCCCCATGATGAAAGATGTTCCATTCGTTAGCCCTGTAGCTGAACATGACATTTCAACGGGAAAGCTGCCTGTCTGCGGTATCGTTCCAAGCTTAATCCTAAGGTCTAGGTTCGAACCCGGTCACAGACACACGGTCGTTTCGTGTTGGGAGCCAGCCATCTGCTGGATGGCTAACGGCAATACCGAGCGTAAAACTCGAAATATAGAGGCTTGTTTTAATTTATTTACATCGCTGCTGACTATCTTATTTGACGACATGGCTACGAGCGAGTTGCCTATCTGCTGTTCAAAATGCCCTCTCCGTGCCGAGGACAGGATGCGATGTGTCGCTATTAAGGAAGCTAGCGAAGATGTGGGAGAGGGCAACGCGGTTGGACACTGATGTGGAGAGAGGTACAGTAGGAAAGGAGCATAGGCGTGTGATAGAGGTGAATACACCGAGGTCCAGGGTTGTGCTACTGCTGATGGCGTTGTTGACGGTGCTGATGTTGTTATAATGGGGGAGAGAAGCTATCGCATCCGCGAGCAACTGGCGCTGCTACTGCTACGCTGCTGCCTCTGCGGCGACGGCTGCTGCCTGCCTCTATCCAGCAGCAGCAGCAGCGAGCGCCAGCGAAACAGACAGAGGAGAGCCACCTCTACTGATGTTGCGGTGGTCCATGGCCCAAGTGTCGCGGTGCAGCGGCCACTGTTGATCCCTTAGTCGCGTCTCTGCTGGGTCTTTGTGCACCTCTCTCTATACAGTCAGCGTCGTCGTTGTGTGCTGGTTGTAAAGACAGCGGTTCTGCTGTTATAGTTTGTGCTAGTTGAGTAACAAGGTGTTCGCTTCTACTCCAGTAACGGCCGAACATCGCAGCAAACAAGGTAACACGCAAACCAACCAAGAGACTACATTTATTCGCCCTGGAAAACTAGACAACGAAGAAGGCATCTGCAACGACTGACCAATCAGCGCGCCACTGGCCAGCTACACTAGATTAAGCGCTAATGATTGAACCCGGAGAAAAGTACGTTCAGCTAAATTGAAAGCCGAGCAATAAGTTGACTGGCTTGGGGCCGATCCAACCCGGGTTGCGGTGCGTTTTCTCACTGATGGCGAGAGTTTGACTCGCTGTTCCTACTGCTGCTGCTTCTACTACTATTGACTAGCAAAAACAAAGCAGCTAAATGCTGTTGAAACTGAACCTGCGTATTAGATACGAAGCCATCAGGCAACTCACAGACCCCAACGAACCAGGCGACCAACTTCGAGGGAAGCGAAGATGATAAAGAGTTGTCTATCCACCCATCTTTGATGAATGCCTCCGTAACGGAGAGATATCTTCGCCCTAGCGGTGGTGCTCGTAAGATCTCGTTCGTACCGACTGTGGCAGTCGTAGTGATTCCCAGTGCGAGCGGGATGAGGAATAACTGAGCAGGGGACCATGTGAGAGTTGCCCCGACTGCTGCAATAACAACGACAACCAAAAACAAGGCGCGTTTTGAACGATGTTAAAAACAAGGCGGCAACGACGATAACACCAACAAAAGCATCAGCAAGAACAACGACGACGAAATCTAGGTGGCAGCGGCGGCGGCGGCGGCGACGACGACGACGACAACAACAACAACAACAACAACAACACGTTCAGAGGTCTCAGCTCCAACTCTGCCAGAAGAACATCGACAGAAGTCGCTTGAGCAACTGCTGGATACCAGGTAATAGTATGGGTCTTGCTAACAGCAGAATCCTGAGCGATTGAGTGTCTGCGTGCTGCAGTGCATCGTGAACCGTATCGTGATTCCATAGTAGAGCGACGTCAAACGGTGGATATGTTATGAGACGAGCGATATTATTACGCTTCGATACGGTACATTTTGCACTACTAGAAATAACGAAAAAAATTGTGACAACGACCACAGCAGTAGTCGCGTTTGAGGTGCCGTACACCAAACCGGAACATACACCTAGTAAACCTAATCAATAATGCCCAGCCTAATCTCACTACTGTTTATGCATTGGGTTTATTTATCGCGACAAACTTCTGTGACACCTGCTGTACTGAAGTAACATCCTAGGTCGGACCCATTTGAACTAGATGTTCGTACTATTTCATTCTGTGGGTATCCTACGCCTGGTGACAGTCTCTCTGTCCAAATTCTCGTCAAAAGCTGCAAAATGAGCTATGCTTTTGCCCACCTTTATGCATAGAAAATCACCACCAACAACGATAACGTTGATTAGTACAAATACATGTAGGATGAGACGCAAGGCAGGCTGGAAAAAGACGAAAAAGGCGCAGTCTCGAAAAAAAAAAACGTCTAATGAATAGCGTTCTATCTAAATTGGGCAGCTAGAAATGAGACAACACGGGTATTGCATCCCCAGGAAAAAAAAACCTTCTTGGCCAGTTGATCATTTTCGTGAGGGTTCACGCTGAGTTTGTCGTAGGCCGCCTTAGAAACAGGCAAAGAACAAATTCCGTAACTACTGGATATAAGATTGTGTGTAACGCGTAGCGCGTGCGTGTGTATATCTGTGCCATTGTACATTACCTGTATAGTGCCTTTTTCAACAGTGAGAAACCAGGTCCTGTGGTGATATCACAGGTTTTATGGTAGTTTTGCGTTTCAGTGCGCGGTGTACAACGAGCAGGTCAAGGATATACGTGGTTAACTTCATCGTTATTACCTGTTGATTGCAAAAAAGACCTCAGTATTTTTTTTTTTAATTAACGACAGCAAAAGCAACAAAAGGTGCGTATTTCCAAAGTGAAACAGTGAACAAGAAAGCTGTTGAAAATGGTTCTGGCCAATGGTGCCAAAGAAGCAGACAACTTATATTTTCCCAACGCTTTAGGTTGGCTTGTCGCGCCAAATGAAGAGATAAGCATTGTTTCTAAAAAGAGTGTTTTTGTGTATTCAAATTGAAGATGAACACTGCTATAAGCAGAGACGGCAGCAACGGCTTCAGTAAAAAAACACCGATCCGCCGCAGATTTCACTCAACATCATCTTATTGTTGTTGTTGAAGATAAACGCATTTGCTCCCACTACTTTCCGTAGTGACATTTAAACTTGGAAAATATCTTTAAACACATGTGTTGGGGCAAATAACGGCCGCACTGGACGTCAGCGCACTGGTCGCATGGCATCATCACCGTCATCATTGTTGCGGTATATATATATATAGACGACGTGCTCCTTGCACCAACTCGCTGAAGTACTATCTCCTGTGGGGAAAGTGGGGCAGCTTCTGTTGCCGTGGGTTTCATGTTATGCGTTGTGCCTTTTCATTCTGTCGTCTGCCTGCCTAACTAACTGTGTGCGCTGCAGTGACGGGGCGCATGTGCCGCTAATTCAGATAGCGTGGGGTTAACCTCTCTGTAGTCTCTTCTATAGCGGCTAGCCTGGGCTTGCCGTTTTTGGCGGAGGCTGAGGCCGACCGATCATGCCCTTGTGGATCGACGACTACAACGACGGCCGCAGTGGATGGGTAGCTTCCCCTGCTGGCGCTGCTGCTACTGGCAGTGCTAGTAGCAGAAAGGCGATGATAGTGGGATGCTTGGATGAGAAGATCCGGTGTAGCTTCTCCCGAAGTCCACAACGGTGGAAAGAAAGAGAGACGCGGAGAAAGAAAGGGAAAAACGGAGGGGAGCGAAGCTGAACCCATCCGCTCCCACGCGGCATCCGCCGCCTCTGCCACTTACATAGCTACCGCAACCAACCATCGCGCTGCCATAGCAGCTGCTGCTTCCGCCACCGCCGCCACTGTGAGGGCATCGGCTTGAAACACAACACAGCCCTGCAGCAGCATAGATGCCAAGTGTGTGAGGCAAGCTGCTTTGAAGGGACCCTCCAACCAGTAGCGGCCGCCGTGCAATCTGACTTAGAGTAGTGGAGACTTCCTACCCACCGCGCAAAGCTAAGCCATTCGCTACCCAGGACCCTGTGCCGCGCTTTCACTGGCCAGGCAATGGAGAACAAAGTATGCCCATTTCGTTTGTTCTCGTATGTACACACATCTACAATATAAATAGAGATGACCAAACGGTAACGTGTTACGGGGAGTCCTCACATTGTCAACAAAATAAAACATGACGTCAACAAAATATCGTTACGAGTCGCAAGTTAGGTCACAATAATAATGATGAAGACGGCAATAATGACAGCGTCGTTAGTGAACATTTTCTTTCTCGTTGCGGCATCCGTGGTGGTAGTAACAGTGATTATAATAGTGGTGGTGGGTCTGGGTTCAAATCCGGGCGTGGACATTTTTTGTTTTGTGCTGGAAGCCAGTCGTCTCATGGAATGTCTACTAGTTAAAGTAGCGTGTATAAAACTCGAAACATTTAGTTTTAGAAGCAGTAACCGTGACAACTAGTGGTATAACATAAGACAAGGCAAGGAACAGCAGTGTCGACAGCGAAACTGGTGCTACAGGGCCAGATTGCTTCGATGCCGCGGCTCTTCCTGCTTAATAGCCGGTAGGCGGCTGGCTAGCTGACATCCGTTTCCTAGAGCGTGCCGTAGAGGTGCCAGGATGACGTTAGTAACATTGAGGTTGGGGCCATTGTTAGAGGTCATTAAGAAGTAGCGCGCGAATGAGTGAGCATACAGACAATCGGGCAGACGGACAGATAAGCACAGAAGCAGCAGTGTGGTCCGGCGTTCATTTGTGGGACGTCGAATGGGGATTCGGGATGGAGGCCTCCCGCAAGGTTTGCTTTGCTCTTGTTGTTCGTTCAGCATTACTGATGATGCTACTGCTGCCGTGGCTGTCTTAGTTATTGTCGCTGCAGTTGCACCATACGACAACAGACGGAGGCGAAAAACGCCAGATGATTAAGCTGGCCTATTGGTTGAGAGGGTACTCGCAGGCTGAGTGCTTGCTAGAGACGGTAACGGTAGTGGGAGTCTTTGCTAGTCTTAACGTATTTAGTTCTGGCTCACCTACTCTGAGCTACTTTTAGTCGGTCGGCAGTGTTAGTTAGTGACGGATCAATCCGTGACAATTGCGAATATGATTAATATAAAAAATGCCGCGTACTGGAATTAACGGAACGCTGACACCGCTCGCGTACTCGAAGGACCTTAGCGCGTAAAACGGCCAAAGTAGCAAAAGTTTGGGACCGACGAAAATTGAAATCGAGCAGTGGGAGGAAGACACAGGATGCAACTAAGAACTTCTGTTTGCTTACTTTAAATATTTGTCGTATCTCAGTTAAAAAAACTTCAAGGTTATTTCTATTGTTGTTCGATTTGCTTTAGATATAGGAAACATATCTACCTGATCAAGTCTATTGGGGACTGCGAGTTAAAACCTTCTTTATATTAAACAAATAAAAACAATATATATTAACTATATTCATGGGGTGCCAGATTTTGAGAAAATTTACTCTGTGTTTCTAACAACAGAGTAAGTTATTTACAACTCGCCGAGATATTTCGATCCGACAAATCGATGAATATATCACATATATGCGATCTAAAAACGGACGCATGAATGTATTCTAACTACTTAGACACAACACTTCCTGATTGTTGCTTAAGTACTCTTTTCTGGTTTGTGTATATATTTTCCAGATCATCTCAGTAAGCTATTCAAAAAAATATAAATGAGTACCAGGACATGTACACTACTATTGACAGGAAAACAAAACCAAACACCGACGTCAAATTAATTGCACGAGGGCCACCATTGTTAGGACAGAACGGAAATTGAATTACGTTTTTGCGCAGCAGACTGAGTTTGAAGCTATGGTCTGGCCTGTTTACTTACTTAGAAATTATGCACGTTTGTACCAGGCCGCCTTCCTTATTTTGATTGATACTATAACTAATTTGTTTATTTTATTACTGTTATTGCGTGTAAACTGTTCTTATTGACCTAGGATATCGCCGTATCCGGTACCGTTTACTAAAGTAATAATGAGAATAAGAATATTAATAAACAGTCATGTTGCAGCTTCGTCTCCGTCGCGGTAATTAAAGCAATCGCGCTGACTGCGTCGTTTTGTCTATTTTCGTTTTGGTCTATCGAATGTAGTATGTTCAGAAACATAACAATATGATGAATGAGCGGTCGAATATAGGTTCAATAAGGAGCAGACGCCTCCCATTCGTTGTTGTATATTAGTTTATAATGAAGTAAAACGATTTGTAACTGGTATCCGTTGTGTGGCTAACGAGAGACAGACCATTAGAAGCGTCGAAAAGCAACAAGATCTGTCCTCCTTCGTTCTCATCCCGCTCCCTGTGAACGTCGATGTTGACGACGGGTGGTTAGAGAATATTTTGATGCTGCAATTGTTCGGAAGTGTAGCCGCAGCAAAGCGTCGATGCATCTGCGTCAAGTGCAAGGATAATAAAACGCAAGGCAGCAGAAAAACAGAATGAGCTCTTTCGCCGTCGATGTCAGCAACTACAGCGTCAGAGCTGCGGTAGCACCAATCGTGTCTACACCGGCTGCAGGGCACGCAGCTGATTGCGTCTGGGATGTCGTAGTCAGCTTTAGCGGGCAAGCAAGCACTCGGTCACAAAACAATTGCTGTCTGTGATTTGTCTGCCTCTTTGACCTTCAGTCTGATTGTAGGCAAAATTGCCGTGACACCGTCATAGCTACAATAACAGGTGTAGCGTAGGAGGTTGGTTTAGAAGAGTAGGCGTAGCTATCGCCGTGACAGTTATAGGTGGCCACATCCTCGTAACGCTAATAATGCCACTAATTGTAAAACCACTACCTGTGCTTTGTTGCTTTGATACTCACAGACTAAACGTAGCTTGATTCTTCCACGTTCTCTCTTCCTCATTTTCCTTCAATATGGAGAAGTCAGAAAAGAGGAGCAATTGTCACCCAAATAGCTGGACATTGTGGCTGTAGCTGGGCAACAGCTAAAAAGCTTAAAGGAGAGGTTATATTTCCGATAATTTGATCGAAACCAGATTAAACAACAGTTGACGGGAAGGTTAGCAGCTCGGCCGAGACGCAGTATTTGACTGTCGCATCGATAGTTATTGGCTGTTCACCGCGTTCGTTGGCAGTTAAAGTACAATATATTCTATATTTACTCTATTTAATTCGTCGTTGTAGTCTCTGCTAAATGACTGTGACAGCCAGAAATAACGGCCATGGGTTATCGTTTTGTTTTTAGTGACAACTGCGTTGTAATCAACTTTTATCTGAGGATAGTGACATTGGCGAGTCGGCCTCCAATTCAGATATCGACAACTGGAACTTTTTGTCACTATGATGTACGTATATGCGTTCGGTAACGATGCCCCGTCGCTTGACGCATTACTTGATTAGTTTCATACAGCGAGGTAAATAAAAAATATTTACCTTACTCACCGAGGAAGTATTTGTAACATAAATGAAAGTAGACTTGTGGGATTTCGATTCAACTAAAAATACCAATGAATACAGATTTCTCCAACTTGAAAGCTATGCTTTTTTAAGGAAGAATGGGCATAAACTAGGTTCCTATTGATGCTATTTGCCGTAATGTCCGTTTTGCCCGAAAACACCTACCGATTAGAAAGTTATTACATGTAGTAGAAGCGAATCACTATTTTGTCTCATATGAAATAGAAAGTATTGCCAGCCTTGTTTGTAATATATATATAACTATATAGGATAGCGCTAACCTTCAAGCAACACAGACACTGGGTGCAGCCAAGTGTTCGTAAAATTGTTTTAGACTGACGTGAATGGAGCGGTTTATCCCTTTTCAAACTTTGTCGTTCGAGTCAGCTCTTGCCATTATTCAGCTGATCAAAAGACGGGTTTACCGCGTTTGAATATCTACCTACGTACTTAGTATCCGTAATATTTTTTATTATTATTCTACTACTTTTCCCAGAGAGCAAACTAGCAAAACTAGTAGCAATAACAAATACAACGTAGGTATTCAGGTCGTCTTAATTATATCCAAAAATGAGTTATTTTTAGAGCTGTTTACTGTTTGCATTCGAATCTTGTAGCAACATCAGCTGCTTCTGTTGTCGCTCTCGTTGTTGTTTTTATTCACTGGCTGGCGCCGTTGGGTCGTCGCTCGCCTCCCGTGAGTTGCCGTACGACGGCAACTACCACTGCTCCGTTGATCGATCGCTTAACGTTTTGAGTGGTTGACGTGATCGTCGAACCACAGAGCTAACGTGCGCACGTTTTGTTATTGTGAATGGTATTTCCTCACTCCTATTGTTTCCTTTGATACTGCTGTTATCGTTGCCCCTGTAAATCACAGGCTTCTTGGACTGCATCAATTCTAGTTGAACTATATCAAGGAATCAGTGAGGAACTAGTGACATTGTCTCCCATCCCGCAAAGTTGTTACCCCGAAAAGGACCGTCGATTTGCGGAACCAGTGCCGATGTGGCATTGAACAGAGACGACTAAAAGTGACGACGGGTTAGCTGTCCTTCGGGATAATTAAAAGCGCATATGTTCAGAAACACAGACAAATCGATCTTTGTTTCGAGATTCTACACCGCTGACCATCGGCGCTCCTATCTACCTCTATGTAGCCATAATGCGGGGAAATCGAAAGGCAAATTACTTCTCCACTGCAACTCTGGCTCCTCCGTAGATGTCGGTGTTGTAATAGCATGTGTGTTGCTAAATTTGTTCATTAAATGTTAGCTGTTGTCGTTGTTTGCGGCTGCGTTATGGCGGGGCAGTGAAATACGTTGATGACAAGTTATAACAGCTGCAAGGAAAAAGAGCAGCGTTCTAAACATTAGCGTAACCAGTATAATTTCATAAACCAACTCTGTGCTCTGAAAGCAGATCATTTCTCTGTAATTATTTCGCTAGGTACCTGATCACTTCTTGCCTTTACGTTATTTGACCCATTCAGGAATAACGTTAGTTTCTGACCAGAGATTAACAATGATTAATGTTTTCTGTGGCTGAAGTTATATCGATACGGCAAAAATAGAACAAGTCTTTGATACCTTAAAATCAACCCAGAACGTCGACGGGTACTT